AAAAAAAAATCGGAAAAAACATGCTTGTCTGGCCCTTAGATTGGGGCAGGGGTGGGTGGGTAGTGCGCTGCCAAACCCACTCTTGGACCCCTGTCTTTCTGCTCAACACCCATCTCCTAACCCTGTCCCAAGACTAGGCTCTATCACTCACGGGTGACACTATCCTGGAGGATGGAGGCAGCAGCCCCTCCTTCCACCCAGTGAGCCCAGAATACGCATATGTTGTGATACCATACTTGGGCCTGCTTCCGGCTTTGCCCATGGGGCTGAGCAGCCAGCCCCCATGAGGCCAAAGGAGGCGTGTTGCTCACACCCCCAGCCCAGTCACCTTCAGGCCGCAGCGTTTCTCACCGTCTAGGATTGGATGATGGTAAAGTCAATGATACAGACCCGTCTTCTTTCCCACGTCCCGTCACCTCCTCCCCCCATCTGAGTGGATTCCCTCTTCTCCCTTCTCCCTGGAGCCACAAGGGTGGGGAGGTGCTGGAGGGCCTTGAGGAGCAGGGCTCCCACCAGTAGGAGGCTTCTTCTCACCTTCTTCTTTGTGTCCCCAGGAACCATGAGGTACCACGTCACCACCAGCTGCCGTGTGGTCTGGCTTTTTGTGCTGATCTCTGGATGCTGGGGTAAGTTCAGTTCTTTTCCCCCCACAGCCAGCATAGGAGGCCGGGCTGGAGGGTGTGTGGGCAGGCGCGTTGGCCGTTGTGCTCTGGGGCAGGAGTTGGGATTCTGGAGACGCCACCTTGCTGTGTGACAGGGTACACACTTCCTCTCTGAGCCTCGGTGGCTTCTGCCACACTCCCAGGGCTGAAAATACCCATCCCCAGGGCCTGGGCCATGCAAGGGGGTGGGAGGAGCCTGGAGAAATAGTTGAGCTCTAAGGGAAGGAGACATCTGTGACCATGAACTGTCCTTCATCCAGGGTGCAGGACTGGCCACAGTTCTGTTCAGTTTTGCAGCTGTCTTTTGAGCACCTACTGTGTGTCTCCTATGCCTAACTCTGGGGGTGTGGAAGAAATGACACATTCTCAAGGAGTAAAGAGTCTAGCAGGCGATAAAGATACAGCTGGGAGTTACTCTGAGGCAGGGCTAAGAGAGCAGTAATAAAGGATGCATGCAGCTCTAGAGGAGCCCGTCAAAAAGAGATTAATGGGGCCTGCGGGGACAAGAGACACCCAGCTAGAAGGGAGACTTTTAATCTGGGCTTTGAAGATTGACAGGTAGTTTTAAAGTAGAGGAACAGGAAGAAGGGAATCCTGCAGGAGGGAACAGCCTGAGCAAAGATGGGGTTGCACAGAGCCTTTTCTCTCTGCGGGGAGGGCCAGCCTTCCTTCCCCTGGCCCTTGCANCAGCGACTCACGGCAGCCCAGCTCCAGGTTGAGCTGTTGTTCACCATCTTAGCTGTAGAGGGCAGTGTCACTGGCCCCATGTGGGATCCGAACAGGGGCTCTGCTGCTCAAAGCTGGCGTCCCAAGCCAGCTCTTAACCAACGTGCACCTCGGCCGGCCTCCCACACATTGTTCTTTTAAATGGTTAATCCTCACCTGGGCAAGGGGGGCCCTCAGTACAGGGCTGAGCTTCAGACCTGCGCCTTGTCTCCAAGGCCTCGGTTCTGTTCCATTCTGCTGTTGTGGCTCCCCGGGGTAGAGAAGGGGAAGTCCTCCTGATGATGGGCATAGTCAGACCTCCTGCTCCTAGTGTGGGAAGAGCAGCCGGGCTGTGGAGCTGGGACCCACTTCCTGGGAGGGACAGAGCTCCCTGTCCCTTGGAGGAGCTGAGTAGCAGCAGAGAGGTACAGTTAGAGGACCACTGAGGACCTTCCCAGTTCCTCCACATTCAGACCTGGGACTGTGGGCTTCAGGGCTCAGCAGAGTATAGAGGAGAACGTTCTAATCAGAGTTGTCTGCCTGTTAACAGGCTGCTGGCAGTGTTTTGGTAGGGTGGACATAAGCTAGGCCCTCTGATTTTAAAAACATTGGGTGTTTATTGCAGAAAATTTGGAAAATGCAGAAAGTATTTAGAAGAAGAAGATAACATCAGCCATAACCTCACCACTCAGCTAAAATCCCTGTTTCACGTAGAGGTCCTGTATGTGCACATCCCCCCCACCCCACCCCGCCCTGCACACGTGCATATCCACATACGAGCCTCTGCTCGCTGCGTGTGGCTGTGCCACACTTGAACCAGCCCCCTGTCCAGTGTCTGGGCTGTTCCACTCTCATACATTACATAGCAGTGCACATGTCTGTGGCTTGGTGCCCATGCACAGACGTGATGATTTCTGCAGCTAATGTCCTGGAAGTGGAATGGATGGGCCACAAAGGTGTACACATTTGCAGGTTCTTCATACAGTTTTCACACATTGGTTGATTCTCAGCTGAGTTGTCTCCACTTCGGGGTGTGGGAGCCTTGGGAATCTTGTCCCCCTGGTGGCTTCAGAACCCCCAACATGCTGATGACTCCCACATTTACATCTCCAGACCCACCTCAGGCCTGAGCTCCCCTTAGGGGTACTTGGTTGTCAATAACCATGACAAAGTCACCATGTCCCTAACTGAACTTCTGATCTTGCCCCTCAGCGGGTTCCACCCACAGCCTTCTGCCATCCTGGTTAATGGCAACTCTTATTCTTTCAGGTGCTTGGGCCCAAATCCTCAGGCTTGGCTCTTTCTAGCACAGCCACAGCCTCTTCAATCTCTCAGCTCTACCTTGAAATATGTCCAGAATCTACCAGCTCTCACAGCCCTACTCGCATCCCTGGCTACAGCCCCCGGTCATCTCTGGCTCACATCACTGCACTAGCCTTGCACCTGTCTGCCCGCTTCTGTCCTTGCCCCCTATAGTTATTCAACACAGCAGCCAGAGAGCTCCTTTAGAACTTGACTCATTCATGTCACTCTTGGCTGTCTGAAAACCATGACTCCCTGTTTACTCACATCAGTGGTTTACAAGTAGCCATCATGGGCCTAGTGTCTCTCTGCCATCATTTTTTGCAACTCTTTCCCCCCGTGCACCCTGTTCCAGCCGGTACTGGCCTCCTCACTGTTCCTCAAGCAAGCTCGCACACTTTTGCCCCAGGGCCTTTGCACAGGCTGTTCCCTCTGCTTGGAAGGCCTTTCTCCCAGATACCCATATGGCTCACTCTCCTGCTTCCTTAAGTGTTTGGTCGTATATGACCTTCAGTGATGCTCAGGTCACCCTTGCCCCGCTCCTTTCCCTTTCCTTAGCATGTATCATCCTGAACACTCTCTAGAACTTGCTCACCTCCACTGTCTGTGTTGGTCTTTCCCGGGAGTGTTGGCTCCCTCCCAGCAAGGTCTGCAGTTCTCTTCTGTACTCTGGTGTTTAGCACAGTGCCTGACACACAGCAGGCAATGTCAGGGCAGCTATGTGCAGTGTGACCAGACCTGGCTCAGAAGCCTCGCCCTGCAGCTTACCAGCTCTCTGGGGTATCGGTGGAGGCTTTGATTTGAATTGGGGGATAGCGATTCCCATGTAGGGTGACTCCCTGTGTGCTATAATTCTGCCACCCACCAGAGCCTCCCTTGCCGGCCTCAGCCCAGGCCTGCCTGAGCAGCAGGTGATTATGGATTGATGACAGGAGAAGGTAGAGGCTAGTGTAGGTAGGGTTGCTACCCTGAATTTGGGAAATTTTGTAGTTTACTCCTGCCAGGGACAAAGGTGTTAACCTCTTGGGGATTGTGCTGGAGGGAGGCGTGGGGGTGAGGAGGTGGGGGACTTGGTCACCCCTGGTGTTGCATGCATTGTCTTATTGGTACTGGTACCAGAGCCAATGCCTGAGAGATGCCAATGGCCTGGAAGAGCAAATGAAACAGGAGCCCCCCTGCCGTCCTCAGCCTCACGCCTCCTTCCTGGCACATGTGGCTTGATTGTGCCACACTGTGGTTCTGAGGCATGTAATCCTCACCCAGTTCTGCTCGTTGGCCTCTGAGTAGAAGCAGGGTTCTGCCCAGGGCATCCCTACCAGGCCTTTTGGCCTGGTCCCTGCTCTGGGGCAGATATCTGAGCTTAACAACTGTTAGGGCTAAGGCTGGGAGGCTGACCTTTGACAGCCATCAAAATGGGGTTCAGGGCCGGCCGAATGGTTCAGTTGGTTAAGAGTTGGCTTAAGAGCGTGAGCTCTGAGCAACAGGGCCGCTGGTTTGATTCCCACATGGGCCAGTGATGCTGCGTCCATGCTGAGCTGTCCCTGAGTTGCCAACAGGTGGCAGGATAGCTCAGCTGATGTAACAACAAGATTGCCTGTTCGATGGTGGGCTATGCCCACCTAAGACTGAATTCGGCACCTTGAGCCGAGCTGCCACCCGGATGGCTCAGTGGATAGAGTATGCACTCTTAACAACAAGGCTGCTGGTTCGACTCCCACATGGGATGGTGGCT